ATTCGAGTTAAAAACTCCTGACTGTACCACGAGAAAGAACATGTAACATTAAGGCATATATAAATCACAATTGAAAAATAAATAAAAAGGTAAGAAAATCTTATAAAGGGGACTTACAATTATACACTATTTGCATGGAGTTTAATATAAATAAAAAGATAAAAAAAAGTATATTATATTATATTGGTGACAGGAAGATGAATAAAAGAGGAAAACAATGACCCTAACATTCGCCCACAATATATCTAATACCGTTCCCATTTTGCCGACTCTTTAAAGTTGAAAATGCAATGGCAAGAGAGTTCAGACAACGTCACAAACTATGTATTGTGACATAATAAATGAAAAAGAAAAAGAAACGTGATTGGTTTAATTTTGTTGATTTTTTTATTATTCAATTTTTTATTTAAGTTTTTATTATTTTTATAACCTTTTTTATTCATTTTTATTTAAAAATCAAAAAACAAATAAAAAGTATTCTTTAAATGGAATTTGAGTACAATGTGAAATTGGTGGACCTACCAATGGTTGGAGGAAAATATTTAGGGTGTAACAATAGAAGCATTCCCTCTTTTAGTAAAGAAGAAATTGTGAGAAAAGGATCTCAGCAAAAGGTGATTTCAAAAATAACGTACCACATAAACTTATCTATTTTTAGCCATTAAGAAGCATGAGTAGATCAAAATACCCTTAAAAACATCGTAGAAAAAAGCTCCCGATATCCCCCTCCCGCCAAAGAAAAAATAAAAATAAATGCTCAACTGTTTGAGGTCGCTCATCTTTCTCTCTCAACTCTCTGAACTATGTCAACTCTATTAACTCTCTGTTAAGCACCATTGTCATCAAGTCACTGAACTTTCTAAACTGTATGAGCTCTGTCAACTCTCTGTTGAGCACCATCGTCATCGTGCTATGGTTTATCTCTGGGCATTTGGCCATATTGTCGTCGATAAACAGACCCTATAGCAAAGATGACATCAAGGTATGTTATTGGGCTTATTGCTACAACAGATAAATTTTTTAAACTTGTTATGTAAATTAGAACATGGATTACAAACACTGCCAGAGTTGCTACACGCCATGCATCCATAAAGTAGATGGCGTGTAACATTTTTGAGCATGGCATGTAACGTAGTTGAAAAATGGCGTGTAAGAACATGACAAACAAATTATAGAACATGACAGATTTGATGTTTTCAAAATTGTAGTGGGTTGCAATTGTGTGACTTGTGATAAGACATGTTGGTCAGTGGGTGGATGGCATTTACAAGGGTAGTGACTCACGAATGCGAGGGGTTAGGAGTGATTTGTCATTTGAGGGCTTGAAGAAGCTGGTTGAAGAAGTTGTTGGGGTTAAACTCAGAAATGGACAAGATTGAGTTACATGCATTGATCAATACACTCGGAGAGCTATCATGCCCAATTATCAAGGACGATGAGGATGTTGCATTAATTCTACTAGAACAGAGGAATGTTCTGGCTGTGTATTTCAGCATTAAGGGATGCCAAAGAAATGTTATGTCACATAAAGAAGCTGAACAACATGATAATCAGCTCAATCAAAATGAGATTTACAATGCTTCACACATATTGCAGCATTCGGTCCATAACCCACAACAATGGCAATTGACATATGCAGAAGAGTTTGTGCAGCCCGGTAGAGAGACGACATTCATAGAACAGTTGGCTGCATAATTCCGATCAAGATGTGCATCAAACAAATTACTTGCTTCTATTCAACCAATGCAACGATCGGGTAAAACTGTAGAAGGTATAATGACATTTTCAAATGAGAATATCACATTTGAGGACAACACTGCAATGTTGGAGGGTGACATTGCGACGCTCGATGATAATACTATATCTGATGAGGGAAATGCGGATTTGTTCCCTGCCGGTGAAGATAGATTTGATGACAATTCAGATGATGGGCCTGATGATAGTGCAGACGATGACTAGCTTTATGATAGTGACATTCCAATTTGCAATAATGTTGAAGGCGAAACGAAACTTGTTGGAGCTGTTGATGTAGGAGATGTATGGTGTGATAATCGCATATACAATAACCCGATCGCTGATGAGAATGGGATTCATTCCCTTGATACATTGCTAGATGACAGTCATCAAGATACGGGAAATGGAGGGATATGTAGTACGTAGGTAATTCCAGGTGCAGAGAGGTTCTCCTTCCAAACAGTTACCATTGAGGAGTCGAGATGTGCTGATGATCGCTTATACAAAAGAAGAATGTTTCCTCGAATGCCGAGTTGAAACGAGCTCTGAACATATTCGTTCTAAAAGAGCATTTTGAGAGAAAAGTAAAAAGGTCATGTAAAGGTTGTTATGAGATTGGTTGCAAGGACAAGGCATGCAAGTTCAGTGTACGTGCAACGAAGTTACTTGAAGGAGAATATTGGCAAGTTCGAACGTTCCACGACTATATAACTTGATGATATTTTGAAGGTGGAAAGCATAGCTTTCAAGATATGTTCACTGAGGATTGGAAGATCACAGATGTAAACAAGATTAGGGATTTATGGCTCAAATTAAAGGTAGTGAAACTGTCAATAAAAAAGTGACAAAAATTAAGAACCTTTTAAACAAGAACTAAGTTTACATTCAAAAATTGGAAGAGGAAATGCATTTGCTAGCACAAGCCTTCAAGTGACTAGATTTGATGAGGATAAGTGGAAGTTGCTTATGGGTAAGAGACCAGAGCATTTGGGACTTATATCGATTCAAAGAGAAGAAGTGGCACAAGAAATGCATATTTAAATGGTTCCTTAAAAGGGACCAGAATATGAGATTTTTTCTCAAGAAATTTTGACAAGAAAGAGGACTAATTTTATTGATAAGCTTTTGGTGCAAACCATTTTGAAGACTTTTGTTTTTAAAGAGATATAATACGACTAAAGGAGTTCAATTGTGATTTTATGGTGCTTTAGAACAATGTGCAAGAGAATTGGAAAAGCCTTTCACTGAAAAGAATTATGAGCAACTATTACATGTTGTGATGGTAATAAGGCCCCAAGACTCGATGGCTGCAAACTAAACTTCTACAAGAATTAGTGAGTCAACATCAAAAGTGAGGTGTTGAACTTTATGAAGGATGTTTTTGAGTTATGTCCCTTTGAATATTGCACAAACACCTTGTTTATTACACTTATTCTGAGGTGTGGCAGTCTAGTTGGCATTAATTTCTTTAGGCCAATTAGTTAAGTTGACAGTGTGTACAAATACTTACTAAAGTCCTAGCCAACAAGTTAAGAGTAGTAGTAGGGAAGTGCTAAATCAAATTTATCAAATGCCAATAGATTATGGACTACTGATCATTCATAGTTAATGAAATAGTGGATTCAATGAAAAAAGATAACTTTAGAGACCTCATTTTCAAGATGGATTTTGAAAAAGCATATGATAGTATTAATTGGAACTTTCTTGACCTAGTGATAAGAAAAATGGGGTTCAGTGATAAATAATGTAAATGGATACGAGCTTGTATCTTGTCAACTTTAGTGTTGGTGCCATTGAATTATGACCCAACCAAGCATTTCAGAACACAGTGAGAACTTTGCCAAGGTTACCTTTTTTCCTTTTTTATTTAAATTTATCATTGAAGTTTTAAATTTCCTTATGAAACAAGTCATGGCTAAAGGTGTCTTTAAAGGATTCGACATTAGGAGGAATGGTTTTAGTTATCTCATTTGCACTATGCAAACGATACCTTCATTTTCTATAGATTGGAGTTGTCTTCTTTACTGACAACTAATAGGGTTTTAAGATGCTTTCAAGTGATCTTCAACCTGAAGGTGAACTTTCAGAATAGCAATCTTTATGGTGTTGGAGTGGAGAAATGGGTAATTTCGAGGATGGAAAAGCAAATTGTTATTACATGATGGTTTAGCCTCTCCAATAAAATCTAAACTAACAAGGCTTCCCTTGCACGATAAGTCATCATTCCAAATTTCATGTAGTGTCAAGGAAGCAATGGATAACATATAGAGGAGATTTCTTTAGGGTGGGATTACTAAAAACTACAAGATTCACTTTGTGGATTAGAACACAGTGCGTCATTATAAGACAATGGAGAATTGGGTATGGTGGATCTCCATCTTAAATAGAAATCACTATTAAACATGTGGATATACAGACTCAAAAGTGACAAGGATGGTTTATGGAAGAAAATGTTGGCAGAGAAATGCGAATATGATGATAAGAGGCTTTTCTTGATCTTCGAAAGCCCTAGGAGATCGTCAATCATGTGGAGGTATATTCTTAGCACTCTAGATACTAATAACAAATTTCATGGTCATACCATCACATGAATTGGATTCGTCGTCGGAGATGGTAGCCACATTGCATTTTGAAGGAGGAATAATGGAGTGAAGGGTGTGTCCTTAAGGATGTGTTTCCAAGAATGTTTGTACTAACAATTAATAAAAATGAGGGTGTGTCACCAAGTATGGTAAATGAGATAATGGTAGATGGTATTAACATATTGAGCTAAAGAGGAATGTTTTCAATTAGGAAGTTTAATCGTAAAATCTATTGCATGATTTCTTGAGGCAGAATCTACGTATCCTTGTGTATTCATGGATGAGAATAAAAATTCATTATATTTAAGAAGGAAAGGATGATCACAATCGTACTTGGACAATCAACTATGGCAAGAAAACAACCAATTGTTAGTTATAGACAAACTCTCCAAAATATTCTAATATTTTTAATATATTAAGAAATATAATATTTGAATGATCATCTTAATAATAATAATAATAACAACAACAACAACGATGATGATGATGGGTATGGTCAGGGCTGGATAATAATTCAATTCAAGACGTATCCAAAAAAGAAACATTGTACCTAGACTTGCAACAAGTGGAGCCAAAATGGCAATATTTCTTTAACAAATTCAGCTGCTATTGCTTTCATAATAATGAACAAAAAGTAATGTGGCATTTTTGCTTTTAATATGAAGTTAAAGAAAGTACAAGTCCTCACCAGAAATAAAATACTATTATTATGGTTTCATAAACCAAGGAACATAAAATATTGAAAACAAGAATACAATAAGCAAAAAAAAATTATAATTAAATAGAATTCAGTTACAATAGCTGAATATTACTACATAATATAAAACAAATCAAAGCACACCATTTCCATAGCTGATTAAAGCAAAAAAAGAAAGTAGCCAATATGTGAGTGGTTCGTTGGTCCTGTCAGAGATTGAAGAAAAATCTCATCCACTAGTAGAAGAGAAGACCTCTTACGGCTTGGGACCCACCCAAATCTCTCCCCTGTCTCTATAATGATGACAAGTGGCCTTCCTGTAGGCTCAGAGATAATACACAAACCCAACACTATTGTTCTTCACACTATTCCATCAAACAGTTAGCTCAACGGTCAACCCAAGATTTGAAGCACTGAAATCAATCAGGAGTCAAACCTTTTCATTGATTGTTGATTGTTTATTCATAGATATTAAAACCTAATTGGTAAAAAATGTAGTAAATGTCACTCATTCCTGTTCTGTTAATGTATATTTGCCATTAGTTCTAAGTAGAAAAACATTACCTAAGGATCCCAAAGAGAGTCATTCTGCATGTCATCCCACTCATTCTCCCCATTTTCATTGCAGAACATCATTGCCTCGTCCATCATCAGTGCCTCCGACATTTGCATCCACATCTTGGGAGAGTCCAGAGGGGACTCGTTGATGGCCTGAATTTGGGTCGGAGACAACCTAACCGTGACAGGGCCAACACTGGAGCTGCTGGCGCCAGCCTCAGACGACGACCCTGCAGCATTCGTCCTGACCCGCAGGGCCGCCTCGTGAGCCGCCATTCGGATGTCCTCACCATTGGAACTGGGTGGCCTGGGAAGACAATCGATCAACTCTGGGAAGTTAAGGCGTGCCTCTCGTCCCCGCAAGTGTAACGCTGCTACATCATACGCTGCGGCTGCCATTTCAGGTGTCTCGAAGCTCCCTAACCAGATTCTAGTCTTTTTTCCAGGCTCACGAATTTCAGACACCCATTTGCCCCATTTTCTCTTACGCACGCCCCTGTAGGTTGAAGACACACCGCCCCGCGTAGCACTGCTGCTATTCTTTCCTTCCATATATGTATTGATTCCTTGCTTTTTTCTGGACGAAGTTGATTGTTTCATGTAAATGAGATACATGCTGTAATCCAGTTAAGGGTATTTATACAGGTGCTGCGATTACTGTTACACACACACTGAAATTCCTGGAGGAAGTAAGCTTCCAAGCAGCTGCACAAGTGAAAATTAATGTGCATGTTCTCTAGGAACTCCAAAAGGAATTAAAAAATTCTTTTGGAAACGAACCAATCAAAGGTGGACAAGCTTTGGGAATGCCATAGATTTGGTGAGGAAAAAAATCCTGGGAGAAAAACAAAGTTTTCCTGTTGAAAGACGCGGTTTGATCCCCGGTGGCAAGGGGTCTTGGACCCACTGATCCACACAAAAGATAGGATGAAGTTTGGTTGAATGAATCTTTGTGCTTTGATTAGTCTAGAGAATACTTATGACATAGTAACTACAGTCTCCTAGTTTTGTCGGTTTTCTTCTCCCTATAGTAACTGTGACATCTCTTGTCTTATTCGAGACCAAGATTATATATAATTAGATCATTCACAATTAAATTAGGTAGGTTGACGACAGCATCAGGATAGCTTTGGATAAATTATGTGAGTAGAAAAATTAATTAAAGGAGAAGCTATCTAAAACCTATTTAACAAACTTACTTGCTATCAATGATCCTTGCGGTCGGTTTTCCTGTTCATGTTGGTTTATTTTTTTGGAGGCCAAAAAGGTTAATTTTAGTCATGATTTTGGACTTTTGCTTTCTTTTGTCACATTTGTTTTTCTGGCTGATGGATCCAACAAATAATTAACAAGTAGTTTTATAAGCATAATTAATAATTTTATTACATAGAATTATTTTGACATATTTTGTGATTTAAGTAATTAGATTTTTAAAATTTTAGATTAGAATCATAGTATTTTATATGTTTTTTTAGTTTAAGTTTGATTACATGTTGAGTAGTTAATTTAAGTTATTTAGTTAAATTTTATATTATTTTATTTTAAATGACTTAAAGAATAGTTATTGCTAATTTCTTTTAACATTTTTATAAAAAATTTGATAAAAAAGACTAATTAGAGAGCTCAGCACCGCAGCACTCCTGTAGCAAAAAAAACCAGCACCACAGTGCCAAGAATCAAGGCTGCGAACCTAGGTGATTTTTTCAAAAAAAAAAATTGACAAGATTTTAAAAATTAAGTTACTTGAAACCTATTGAAGAGACTTTTTTAAGAGATTGAGACAATGATTGAATCATTTACTCGAAAACACCATGCCTTCTCCGGGTGCTTTAGGTACAAGGTTTAAAAACTATTGTTATCATAGTTGGCACAACCTACTTTACCTTCCCTCAACATATTAATAGTGAAAGAACAAAAAGAAAAGAAAAATCTTTGGTGCACATTTCAATATATTTCATAATAATAAAGGGTCTTCATTGGTTCAAACACAGAATAGTCAACTTTAAACATGACAAACAATGATTCAATTCTCATCAATCTAGTGGGTAGAAATCATGCTTGTCATCCATCTTCTCTCATTCGTCAAATGAAATCCCTGTGAAAGATTTCTTTTTCACTGTGAAAGATAACTCTTCCTCCAAAAATATAAATAAGGTAGAAATTAATACGCACTCTATTTTTAATTTTTTTAAGATTATTCGTATTTTTTTATTTATATTACTGTATTTAGAAGGAAAATAGAAATGATTAGATATTTAGATAGATGAAGCACAGCTCTAATTTGTTCGTAAATGTGAAGTAATTATTGAGTGTAAGGAATAATTAAGGTTTGGTGTTTGTGGTCAATACGAGTGGGGGAAGAAAACAAATGGCTAATTCCTCACACAAGTCATTGTCTCCAATCTTGGTTCCAACTCAGTCCCACATACCCCCATTACCCCAATAAACCCCACATTGCTATTTGAAGTTAGTGTCTGCCTAGTTTAACGTCAATTGACCTATTGTACATCTTCTGGCTAGCTAAGAGAGACTAATGAGTCTACAAAACAGCTGGATCTCGCTAAGCTTCAACTATCTTTGCTATTAATGAAAAGTTGAATATCAGATATCTTCAAAGGAATGGAATCACTATAAGGGGTAAGTAAAGTTCAAGTATCATCACTACGATACAATTGATCAACAACTCAACCACCTACAGTAACAAATTTCAATTGGAGCTACACATTTTAAAAATGTATTGTTGTAAATTTAACAACACTATACAAATTATTAATAGTATTATGAATAAAATATAATTATAGAGCTTGCAAACATTAGTAAAAGTGAAAGACATTTTACGCTGATCAGCACAATTTTTTTTTCTTCATCTGCAAAACATTTTGTATTCGTAAAAAATCTTTTCTCGAAAAATCATTTCAACATTACCGAACGGAGCTTAAAAATTTAAATAATTATACTTTTTAAAATTTCATTGCATAAAAAGGTTTTCACCAACTACTTATTGTAGTGCACCTTGATGGTGCAATTGGCAAGATCTCATCGATCTGTAGCAAGTAATCTTCAATCTTGAGTTTCACCGACTATTGAGTAAAGAAGATTATTCCAAACATTATGTCTTTTAACTCCAATATTATAGAGTCTGAATGTTGAAGGCATGTCGAAATGAAGATATGTGCAACAGGATTTCCGCGTTGAGCAGGAGCAAGCAGGTTCACTGACGGCAAAACCCATCACATCTCGCATGAAATTAGTGTCAAAAGATGGCTCCCCTTTTTGTCAATCCCGAATTGAGTTCTGATCACACAAGTTCAATTTTACCACGCAACACGTGTTCCCCTTTTTCTATGTTCCTGTGTCTTTCTCCGGGTGCACATGTAATCCATTTTCAAAGATTTTTCTTTTCCTGTCTCTTTTGTTTCTTCCAGATATCACCAGTTCTTCTAGGAGAGTACATTAGTTGGTACCTAATTTCAATCCTGAGCTCCATGTTCAACAGTCAAATCATGACACGAGTCGTTTGCAAACTTACGCACCGTATGTTATGTCTTACTGTTGGTTCATTAGTTGAGTGTTGATTATGTGATCATATAGATTATGATACAAATTTGATTCATGTCGGCGAACTTTGTTGGATTTTTATTTGTATGATTTATTTTGACCACTTACAACAAAGGATCACACGGTATGTTCTAATATGTATTGAAAGATTTATCAAATAAAAGAGGGCTTACATCCACACAATGAGCATGATAAAAGCTAAAAAGAAGAAACTCTAGACATCTTCAGCAGGATCTACTCAAGAGAAGCCTTTTGTCTTATCTCTTGTGATAGTATTTGCTACAACTACAAAATACTTGTTAAAGTGATGATAAGAAATCTCAGGTTGGTTTAAGCTGAGGTATCATATAGGGATATGAAATAAAAATATAATAATTTTTTTTTTCATTGATTATCAATTGATTTTAAACTAGATATCTATTTTAAATTTAAAAGAAGATTAGCGTAAGTTTTACTTCCGTTCGTTAGTCTCTTCATGCAATGTTTGTTATGTACATGTGCAGTCCATTTGTACAATAAGTTTATTATCTTTATACGTGAAATACATCTCATGTGATAAAAAAAATGTTAGAGTTACAATAAGAAATCTCATGTTTATAAACATTTTTGGGTTTTAAATAAACATTAATATAACCAAAATTTCACATGCATATTGTAAAAGTAAAATTAATTTTTTCATCATGGTGGAGTTATTTAGGTGTTAAAATAATAAATAGGAATTGATTACAAAACAATATTGATATTTGATTTTCACTAATTTGGGATCAAAATTAAGAATGAAAATAAAAATGGACAAAATCAATAATGATATTTCCCAAAGCATTTAAGCACATATATGTAATGAAAATACACTCTAATTTTCAAAAAAAAATTCCATCTTATCACTTTTTGATCGTAACTATAAAAATATAAATATTCATCAATTATATAAGACATCCAAAACCTATACTTATAAATATGTATTTATTAAATGCCAATCATTGAAATATTTTTTATTATAAATATTAGTAAGATATATTGCATTTGTAAATAAAAAATTTAATTGTATTGAATGGTTTCATTAAAAAATATTTTTTTAATTTTAATTGTGTTGTATAATTTAAATATTATTATTTTAAATTAATTTTT